TTTCTGTCGTATCAGCCCTCTGAACGGGAGGACATCTAAGGATGCAATTTCCTTCAGGCTCTGGCTGGAGCGGTTAAAGAGAAGTCCTTGCCCCTGTGCTGCAGTCTGCTTCTGCCACCCCTGCATCCCCTCCTGCTACGGCAGTGCAAGCGCTTGTCGAGCTGTGCTGTGAACTTGATTGCTGAAATGATCTGGGTTAAAAATAACCTTGTAAAGAGTTAAGGGATGTATTTTTAGCCCAGATCATTTCAGTGATCTAGTTTACAGCACAGCCCCACAAACTCAGACTGGTGCAGAGGGAGGGGGGAAGGGAAGGAGGGAAAGGTCAAGGGAGAATGAGCAGTTGGAAACATAAGCTGTCATTCTGCCAAAACCAGAACCTTATGAAACTGCACCCCGAAAGCACTGACCCTCTCTTGTTTTCATCTAACATACTGACAATTGCCTTCTTGTGGCACAGTGTTGAGAGCTGGGTGCTGAAGATCACTATTTCTGGATCCTGTTTGTGTAATCAAGACACCAGCCCTGAGCCTCGAATGCCTTATTATGTCTGCCTCTGACACACTATATTTGTCATTATTTTTGCCATATATGCTTTTTCTGAGGTAGATTGTATGTGCAGCAACAAAAAACCCCATGAGAGTCACGGGGGAGTTTTGCAGAGCTTGTGAGAGTGCAGGGTGCAGGAAGGCGCTGGCATGATGGACTGCTGTGAGAATGGGCTGCAGGGAATCATTCCTGCAAAGTTGTTTAGAAGCAAGGGAGAGATGTGGAGACCAGGGACTGGCCCCAAAACCACGTCTAGATGCAGCTGCATGAGAATAGGGGTGGAAAGTGCATGGGACCAGTACCAAAAATTCTGCAACTGTCACTGGTTTCATAGCTGCTGAATATTCCAGCCTTTCTAGGTGCTATGGAGGGCTTGCTTCTCAGATAAAAGGTGCTCCATCTGGCCAAAATATCCTACCTGCAAAGGTAGACAAGTCAGAGGACTCATAGGGGAGGGAAGGAGAGTAGGACAGTCAAATCTCTGCTGTTATTCAGCTGGTATTTAAGTGATGCTTAAGCCAAAATACTCCAATATATGGCAGCTGATAGATCTTTGCTCTTTTCATCAGCCAAACCAGATGCACAAATCCAAACCTGAACTTCTCCTTCAATACCTGCTTCTGACCCACACTGGTACCCTTTCAGACTAGCATTTCCAGTACCATTTTATGCGCAGTGACAAAACTGGTGGGGTACCAATCCTGTGAGATGGAGTCATAATAGCTTTTAATTGCAAGGGGATGGGTCATGACAAAAACTGCTGGCTGAGAGCTACTGGAGCCAGTTTTGCACCAGCCCCAGCAGGACATTCAAATTCATCCCCAAAGCCACCTCTGGCTTTCCAGCTTTCCCCAGGAGTCTTTGCAATTTTGATTTCGTAAGAAACTGGTTGTCTGCAGTGACACTCCCCACCTGTAGCTTAAATCCATGATCTTTAAGAAAGGATCTTTGTGAGTACCCAAATGGGATGCACACAGAAACTCAAATCTCTTTACTTTTCTGTGGGCCTTCACTATGCACCTTCTCTCACCTGATGCCCACAGTGGGCTCACCGGCTCTATCAGGAGAATTGGTAAATGTCATTGAGCCAGGTAATGACACTGCTGTCCTGAGGGGCCCCCTCTGTGAGATGTTATTACTCCCACATCAGGCAGCCCTGCTAGCCCTTGCATTTTCTGGCCCATTAAATCATGAATTAAGTTGGGATTATTCTTCTCCAGTAGTGCCAAAAGGAATGGGTTCGGGTTTAAAAATAGATGAAGAAATATGGGGTTCAAAACTATATTCAAATTTACTCAATTTTATAAAGTTATTTGAAAGAAGAAAATGAAACCCCTTACAGAGAACTTGCTAGTTGTGCTTCCTCTTTTGCAGACAGTGCCGTGCTTACATTGATGGTACAATTCAATTCCTGTTTTGATGCTCTGACATCTTTCAGAATGTGCAATGCTTAGACACTTATTTTTATTGAACAGTAAAAGACCTTAGAGTAGCAGTCACCAAATTACTGATGGAGTAAGTCTTTTACCTTAGCTTGCTGATTTTAGCCCATGCAGGCTGACCACACTTCCAAAAGGAAAGGAATCAGCAGTTGGCTGCAAAGAGTGCAAAATTAACATCTGAGTAATTTCACCTTTTTTTTTAACAGAGAAGAGCTGCTCCTCTTCATTCACAAAAGTGGTGGGCTATGTCACTGAGACAGGAAAAATGGAGAAATGACCAGGAATGGGAGAGGTTGCATTAATATCATGGGAGAGAGCCACCACTGAGCTCTTGGGTGGGAGGAGCAGATGCATGTCTTAATCGTGGAAGAGGCTGAGGGCTGGTACATGCTCTGAGGTGAGAGTGAAAAAGTGAAGCTTCCCACATTCCTCCCAGTGGGAGGGAGACTGCCAGCCCAGTCCCTGGAAGTCAGGGGGCCAGTGTTCCTGCAGTGCAAGGAAGCGAACTTTTTGCATCCAAGTGTCCTGGTACAGCACTTTCCCTTGACTCAAAGACATAGACCCTGGCACACCAGGTGGGGAGAAAAAAAAAAAAAGAACCTGTAGAAAAAGCTGGGTACAGGATGGCAGTGTGATTGCCAGAAATGATCTGAAAAAGGACTTTTCCTGTTGCAAAACACATAGTGTAATTGGAGAGTCTGCAGCTGGCAGTTTCAGGAGGACACAGCCCGTGGGCTACTTGTGCTAATCTTAGAATGGCATGTTCACTCCTTCCTGCGCCCCGGCCGGCAAGCTTCATGCTGGAGAAAGCCTTGTTGCAATCGATGCCTGCTACTAGCAAAACAAGAAATGCATGGAATCATTCCAGCCTCACAGCCCAGATCAAATCCAAAGAAAGGGAGCTGTGTTTTCAGACTGTAACTCAAAATTAAAAAAAAAGGGAATAAAAACCCACAACCACCCCAAAACAAGAGGTTAAAGAGGCCAAGAGGAAGTGCAGTGTCTTTTCTGGGTAAAGGCAAAGGACTGTGAAAAAAGCTCTTGGAGAAAAAGGGACTATGAGGGAAGCTTTTTCCTCCACTGAGCACCTGCAGCTCCTCAGCCTCAACTAAGTCCTCAGTTCAGGTGTCCGTTCTGCCATGCCCAGGTATCCTGGGAGCAGAGCCAAGCCTCTCAATCCATCCTGCCTTCCCCAGGTTCATTCTTTGCTCTCTCCTCTTTCCAGCATCCCCTCCCTTCACGGCAGGGAGCCAGCCCACAGCTGGAACGTCCCTCCCTCCCCACTTAGCCCAACCATCATTTTTTGTGTGCACCAGCTTGCCCTGCTGATCAGCTTACCTCACTGTTTCTTCCATTCCCCTTATCTGCCACTTCCCCTGCCTGTAATTACTCTAGTGAAGACTGAAAAGATGAGACAAAGGTGCTAGAAGTTCACCGAGAGGAGACAGCTCGATATAGCTTTTTGTGACTGGATGTTGGAAAGCTGGTCTGTATGGGAAGTTTAATGGGGGAGATGTAGTCAGGATCCTGGAAACAGGGAACAGCAGACATCTACCGGGGCTTGTGAGCCTGGGAGAAAGAAGATAGCATTTATTGGGAGCATATATGTACAGCTCTGAGAAAGGGAAAGGCCCTTTTCCCCAATGCAAACAGGCCTTAGCCATGCTGATCTCTACCAGGTATCTTAGACTAGAGAGTGCTCCAAGCTACAGATGATATGATCCTTAATGTAACCTCCTCAATTTGCTTTTAATCTAGAAACTGTAAGTCTAAAGAAATTCCTTCTTTAACATGATTTCAAGTTTCCATAGCTATTTCTCCAGCCCCTGTATCATGGTGACTCAAAGGAAATGGTCCATACATGGGCCAGATTGGTGTTTCGAGGGCCTTTCACCTTCAGTGATGCTGAAGGAGTGGTTGTGTTAACGAGACAGCAGGTCCCTCCCAGGCAGAGCAGTGTAAAGGGAGAAGGACTCTGCCTTTGGAGAAATGGAAAGGTATTCCTCTAGCAGTGGTCTTTGGAGAAACTTTATGACTGAGAAGCAGAAGAGTGTTGAGGCACGGGGGTGAGAAGTGTGGTGTTGGTCATGTGTTTGTGGTGGTGGTACAGGGAGTGGAGGTATAAGGTTCCTTGCTGATGGTTCATAGCCTGGTTTGTTGTTTTGAGGTCTCCACCTCTAACAAAACAAGTACTGTTGGTTAGTTGTTCTCAGTTCCTCTGGTTCTGTTTTCCATGGCACCAGATACTAGAGATGAAGAACAAAGGTTTCCTTTCACCAACTTTGGTTTCAAGGCTTTCTACTCATATTGCTTGATACACACATAGCATAGAAAACAAGGTCAATGTGGGATGACACCAGGGCTGTGTGCTGTGGGAAGAGCCACACCATCCAGTCTCCAAAAAGCCTCCTGCTTCTCAGCCTGTCGTCAACCCAGGGGAGGGGAAGCTTCTCTCAGCCCTGGTATTTCCTCCCTCCCCTCCACCCGTCTGAGTATTTCACTGCCAAAAAAGCAGAACAGCACAGGGACATCCCCAAGCAGATGCTGCCTTGCTGTGAGGACAGGGAATGGCTTCTTGCAGCAGAACCACTGGAAAAGGAAGGGCGCCAGTGACCAGGGCAGTAAAAAAGAGATGGGAGGGCTGAGGTGCTGTATGGGAATGTCCTTTACTGCCCTGCTCCATCTATTTACTGTGAGGAAAAGATGGGAAACACACACTTTGCTTGGAATACTTAGTTTGCTTCCAGTGAAAAACACTGAGCGTAGGCTCTTCAGCTAGAGCTGAGAGGTTCTGCATGAATTACTGGTTTTCTGGGATATTTGAAAACTCTGCTAGGTCCTGTCTTCCCAAACCTCTTGCTCTCAGACGGGATGATTGATGCCAGATGCGAGAAGCTCTGCTTTAAGTCCCTGCTTGCTCTTGAACTTTATAACACATACACAGGCTTCTCTCTAGCCTGCTTGCTTTTCCCAGCCTTTGCTCATAATTCGTTGTTCCCAATTTCTCAGAACAGGCCAGCAGAGACCAACTCGGAGGTGGACAAGTCGGCATCACCCTCAGTGGCTCAGCTAGCAGGGAAATTCAAAGAGCAAGCAGCCAATATCACTGGCAAAGAGGTAAGGAGTTCTGCAGCCATCAGCAGGTAATCGAGTGGGAAATGAGGCACTCGCTTCTGCCTGCAGAAGTTAGAGCATCAGTGATCTGAGCATGAATCCACCTTGAATTTAGATCTTCATAAAGGATTTGTCTCCTAGTGCAAGCTATGACACACTGTAAAGCCTAGTAGGATACACGTGTGTATACCTAACAATAGCAGACAGCAATGAGTGTACTATCTGGACTGGCTTTTGTGGGCAGAGGGCAACAACAAGTAATGAAATAGCTAATATTGAGCCATGGAAAAAGAAAGCAAACAACAGATTACACAGTGTAGAAGCCAGTGGCAGGTCACCAGCATCTTGTTCACAAAAGGAGAAGGTGTCCTACAGGTAATTTCTTCTGTACAGGTCTGAGAGAGAAATCTGTCTCTTTACTTGCCCTTTGTTACCTCTTCCCAGTGACATTTCAGGTTCTGTGGCTATCTCTACTATGCTGAAACTTTATTTTATTGAAAACTGACTATACCAAGCATTACCTCACAAGCTATCTTTTACCAGATAAGCAAAACACTGGAATACCTCTCTTAGGAAGAAAGTCAAGTTAGAGTGTTTATGCATGGAGGCTGACATTTTAGGAGAGCCCCCTGCTATCATGCACTTTTTTAGAAGCATAAATGTTTACTGGCGGCCCTCTCCGATCAGCGAGTGCCCCTTTAAAACTGAACTGCTTCCTTCTGCTGCTCAGCTGGTTTTAGCACATCCTAGGCTGGGTCTAGGGGGTCCTCCCTGTCACCCCTCCTGTCTTTGGCTGGATGCAATGGTGACCTCTGTCCTGCAGGGCTGGCATGCCACCCTCTATCAGAAGTTAGCACTCCCATCGCTGGGCCCTGGGATGGGAAGAGCCAATCTCTTCCCAAGAACTTTCTTTTTTCCCTCTAGTCACCAGTGCACCACTCCATCCGTCCTGTTACAGTAATTTCCTCTTTCTAAGGTATGGGATTTAATTGCACTAGGTCCCTCACCCTTCAGAAGGCAGCAAGTTCCCAGACCTCTCTTGTGTTATCTGCAGACCTCTGCTGCTCCCAACCCAAGGCAGTGTGGAGGGGCCTCACAGTGGGGGGAAAACTAATTTTCTCCAGAGACAGAGGACAAAGTTTCCTGTCTTTTCTCTCCAAGCCATCTGTCACTTCCCCAGCGGCTTTCTAAAGCTGGCTTCAGATTAATGGCTGAGTGGATGGTCTTTAACCCTTGCCTGACCCATGCCAGCAAAGGGGAACCTATCAACCAGGGAACCTCTGATACATTTACTGTGACACAGTGCAGCATTTCATGGTTGCAAAATGGTGGGGTTTCAATAAGGCATGATATTATTGCTTCCTAGTGTGAGATAAGGATAAGGGCAGAGCTGGCCTTGGCTGCTTAGGGACCCAGCATTGCCGTGGCTGGGTACAGCACCACCAAAACTTAAGTGACATCAAGCCAACAGGTCCTTCAAGGCTGCCAACTCTACAGAGGGCAATGATGCCATAATCCAACTTTTCACATGCCTGCCTGTTAGAATGTAACAAAATTATCCAACTATTATACTGTGGATATTATCCAAGATCCACAATGTTATGCAAGTATTTTGTCTGTTAGCACATAAAAAGTGTGTTAACAGCTTGGCAGGAGACTACAAACCTGGCATAAAAATAGAGACAGTTTGGCTTCAAGACCAGAACAGTAGCTATGAAGGACCAACTTCATAGGTGCTGTGCTATATGCATCTCCTCCTTCCTAGTGAGCACTCCCATACTTCTGAGAGCCCGAGGACATTCAGAATGTACATTCAGGTGTCCGTGCTGTTAAGTTGCCTTGTTTCTTCTCCCCTGGAGAATCTGTTTTTAGTCAAATTAAAGGTTACAGCTGAGGACTTGTCTCTGCAAGCTGCTCTTCATTAGAGAGAAACAAATGGGACTATAAGACATGTTGGAAAAGTCAAAATTCCCCCTTTTGCACCTAAAATATATCAGATACAAAATAGGAAAATCATGAACCAGGTAGGCAGTTGAGAGTCATTAAAAGGAAATCCTGGTAATAAGACAGGAAAGAACAATAACAAGCTATTCCAGTGTGAGGGGTTTTCCAGCTGGATGCTTTGAAGATGAAGCTTCTGGGAAGGCTTCTCCACCTTCTGCAGCTTAGAAGTGTGTCCTTTGCCCAAAGCCTGAAGTGTCATTGCTAGTGCTGTGGAAAGAGTTATAGACTACTTTTCCAACACTACGATTTGGCTTGAGGTGCTACAAGCACACCTAGCATGCTGGCCACGTGCCTGTGTGCTAGTATCTTGTGCTGCCTTTAGATGACTCCTTTAGGCAAGCTGAGGCCTGCCATCCCAGCAGGTCACTTACAGAGCATGCCCTTTGGTGCTTGATTTTCACTTCATTTTTTAAAACACCTGATTTTCCTGCTGCTGAGTTAGTTGTTTTCTTCTCTTAGGTACCACCACATAAGCCAACCAGGAGGAAACCACCATGCTCCCTTCCATTGTATTCCCACAAAACTGAGACAAGCGACAATGATGAGCAAGTGAGTATCCATATAACAGGGGGGCAAGGTCTCTCCTCTCTGAAACTGTTCTCTCCTGAGACATGAGCTTGGAGGTAGCAGGGAGGTCAGGCTGTGGCAGCAAAAGACATCAATCATGCAGCATCAAACCTCCCCCTGCTTGCACACATGTACTGACTCAGTCAGCTCCGCACTGCTTCCCACTCCTGTAGTATGGATACACATCCCATTTCTACTGCTTTTGTTTTTACCCTTAGAGCACTGACAGATCCACCTACTCACCACCTTTCAAGCAGTTTAAAGCAGGAACTGCTGGTACTTACTAGATCTGAACAGCTCTTCGCACAGGGAGCATCCATGCTCTTTGTTGCCTTCAGATGAACTCTAGAGGTTTGAGTATAACCGCATAATAGTTCTGCTCTTGACATTTTTCCTTCTTCAGAAAAAAGGAATAATTAATCCAGAGGAAAGAGGAGTTTTGTCAGCAATACCCACAGAATATTGTCTTGAGGTGTCCTCCATACAGTACCCTTGAATGAGCAGGTCCCAGTAAGCTGGCTGCTGCTCACTAAAGTTTATGCTCACAGACCCTTTCCAGTCACTTTTGTATTTCAGGGTATGAGGTCTACCCATCAAATTTCACTTTTTCATCTGTCCCTTAACAAGGGGGTAGTTCTTTGTCCTTGATTTCTGACACCTACAGGCTCTTGGTGCCTCCATGCTGAAGGAGATTTTAAAGCACAAGCTTTAAAATCTTAGATTCCTTCCTTTTCCTTTGGACTTGAAAAAAGGAATATGCCTCTTCTCAAAGCAATGCCCTCCCTTTCTCAAACTGTTTACAGTCTTTCATAGCTCCACCTTGGCAGCCACTTAGGCCTTTCATGACCATACTAAGCGGACACCTTTTAACTCTGTTAGTCAAGTGGTGGCAGAAAGTCTTTGCTGTCACAAAAAGTTCACAATGTTTACCAATATTAAGGCTTGTACCCTTTAAGAGGTAGAATTTTAATCTGTCTGGTCCTGAAATAATACCAGGGGAAACTGTGTCATAGGCTAGATACCTTACTGTAGGCCACGTAGCAGCAAAGCCATTACACATCACCTAACTCAGATACTTCAGCCAGAAAGCAGTCAGTCATCTTTCCTCCCAGAGGAAGGATACATGAATGTAGAGCCCTCGTATGGCTAGATAAAAAAAGGGGAGCAGAGTCGGGAAAGAAGAAAGCAAACTTCTGTGTGAAGATGCTGTATGAGGCTTCATTTGCCCCCCTACTAGCACTTTCCGTTTATCTCTTCCAGGTTTTCTGCCTTCATTGTATTTCCTCCTCTTTTTCACCGACTTTACTGTAACTTTTTCATGTTTCATTTTGTTTTGCAGAAGCGATCTCCAAATGCTTGCCCCATTCCCAAGGTCAAGGTGAAAAGCTCCCCCATGATTGAAAAGCTGCAGGTAGGTCCTGGAAGAGCCCACATGGCTGCCGTAGCAAATTAAAACCGATTGGCATTGGTCACAGCTACTTCCCTGGCAGAGCAGCCACAGGGGAAGGGGATCCAGGAGCCAAGGGTGACAGCTAGGTAAGCAGGGCAGTGGCCTCACTGACGAGAGCCCAGTCCCACAATACACAAGCAAGCAAGGCAGAGCAGGCCTGGGCATGGTAACGAGCGTCAGAAACAGTCCAGCGATCCTCAGGCACGTCCACAGGCATGTCAGTTCGTGGGTGGGGGTGGCGGGGTGCGTGGCTGGGCATGGGCATGGCAGCAGCTCAGCTCAAGTAAGGAGCAGGGGCAGGAGCCTCAGTTTAAATGCAGCTCACAAGAGGAAGCGAGGGAAACCCCGGCGGAGACTTCTTCCAGCCATTTCTTCGCTGCAGTCTAAATCCAACTGAATCACCTGCACCCTCCTGGGGAGCTGGCTTCGAGGGCAGGCAGCTACAGTCCTGGCATGGGGGGTGCACGCCGGGCTCTGGCGCTCCCCTGCGCGGGCCTAGAAGCCCTGCGCTCCCCTCGCCTTGAGTCCCCCGGTTACGCACAGTCACACCCAGTGCTTCTCCGCCTTTTTGCATCTCTCCGCGGTGCCCGATCCGTGACACTGAGGGCAGCTCAGCACTCGATAGCCCCCAGACATAGCGGCCGGCCGCTGCCAGCTGCCTCTCCTGGCAGCTCAGTGCCTCCTGGCTGCCCTGACACAACACAGGCCTGCTCATAGCACTGTCCCTCTTAGTACACATTTGCTGATGAGGGCTTCTTAGTGACAGGCCAGCAAGAAGTGCTTTGCCACAATTAATCACAAGCTTGCTTCTTTCCATGGTTTTCTCGTTCCTCATGACTGTGCAGATGATTCAGAAGACCCACAGGCCAGGCTTGAAAATGTGAGGTCTGCCTGGGCACACACAGGGACGGTTTAAATCTCAAAGTGATTGCTGGCTGCTTGTTCAGGACCTTCTCCGGGCTCAGCCAGTGTAGACTGTGCTGGCTTGGCTGGGTCACTGGAAAATCCCAAAAGGCCTCAGGATGACAAAAGGACACGTCCTGAGATCCAGCTGCTGTGGAAGGGCAAATGTCCAGTCATGACTCCTCTGCCTGGACTTGTTTGTTGACAGCGTCACCAGGAGAGACCCATAACCAGAAGGTCTGTGGGTTGTGACAGCTGAGAGATGTGGCAACTCCCGTGGCAAGAGCAAGGGTTCCTCCGTGTGGTTACCGCACGCAGTACACGCCGGTGTCATGCACACCCGTGACAAGGATTTTTCTTTGCAGGCCAATCTGGCTTTTGCTCCAGCTGCTCTGCTGCCGGGAGCATCTCCCAAAAGCCCTGGTCTGAAAGCCCTGGTTTCTCCATTCACCACCCCTCCCTCAACACCCAGCAGCCCGGGGATTCAGTCCCAGCCCAGCGAAGCAACTGAGACGCCAGTCAGCTTTGATCAACCCCCGGAAGGCACTCAGCTGCAATTCTACAATAAGGTAGGGTATGTGCTAGGATTTCTCCATCACAGCAGGATGAGGCTTGCTTATCCCACAGGGATGAAGAGGAAGAGGAGGCTGTAGCCCTCAGTCCTGCCGTGTCAGTGTGCATTTGTGGCCAAGGGAGGAGATCTATGTGCGAGGTTCAAAACAGCCTTTCAGTGTAGCTCTGTGGAGTCTCCTCTCTGCCTGCCTGCACACGGAGCTTCGTGGTCCAGCAGCTCCAGCAGCATTCCTGGCCAAATGGGTAAAGGGAAGGGGTGAAGGAAGTGGCAGGACCCCATCACTGCAGCTCAGCAGTGACAGGGTGGCTGGTACCTGAGCCGGGAGTGCTGTGAGGCGGCGGTGCCATGTGCCAGCAAATGTCAAAGGTGTCTGAGGCGCAGTTTAGGGAGCCACGCAGAGCACGGCGGTTTGCCGGGTGTCCCCACAGAGTGCTCAGCGCTTAAATGGGGATCTGTGGCCTGCATTCACCGTCATCAACTGGAGTGCAGACTCCTTCCCCAGCCACCAAACCGGTGAGTGTAGAAGAGGCTGAAACATCCAAACTCAGCAGCATCTGTGTAATGAATGCAGTGTCCTTGGGTTTAGAGTCTAACTTGTACAAGGAGCCACAGTTTAAATTGGGACAATGATCTCTGGCACCATCTTTACAGAAGAAAATGAGGCATGTATTAGGGAGCTGCTTGTCCTATACAGTAGTTTCTCAGCAGCAACAAGCCCTTGTCTCCCTCCCTCTCAGTAGCAGAGCAGGAAAAGAGACCACCAAAGTAGCAATCAGGTTTCCCATGGTATTTTCCCCTGTTGTGCTTTCCTGCTTTCCAGTACCGCTTTCTTGACTGCTTCAATGTCTGCTTTTCCTGCCTCCAAGGTGCGAACACGGGGATCGATAAAGCGCAGGCCTCCCTCCAGGAGGTTCCGAAGATCTCTGTCCGAGTACGGAGACGGGGAAGATGTAGGGGTCAACATCTCCTCTCCAGAAAATGGTGCCAAAGAAGATGGGGATGAGGTGTTTGGGCCTAAGGGCAAGACAGAGGAGGCAGAAACAGGGAGCAAAGAGCAAAACAAACAGACGGCGTCTGATGAGAAGCCCCCATCAAGGAGAGGCTCCAGCAGATCAGAAGATGAAGAAAAAGGGGGAAAACGGGCAGAGGAAATGACTCCTTGCAAGAGTAGCGGAGGGGATACAAAGGAGGAAGAAGTGTGTGGTGGTGCCCCAGGGGAAGAGAACTCCCCCCAGCATCCCTCTGGAAACAAGGAGGAGAAGGTGTGCGAGGGTCCCCAGGGAGAAGAGCAGCAAGGCAGTGCTTGTGAACAGGAGAAGGGGGACAAGGAGAAGAGGGACAAGGAGAAGGAAGAAGCTGAAGCTGAAGCGAAGGAGCCCAGTGAGGGCACAGACACACAGAGAACGTCAGACACTGAAGAAGCACCACTGGCGCCTGAACCGCTGCAGGACGCAGTGGGGTTAGACGCTGCCAGTGAGGTGTCAACGTCAGCCACGCAGGACCAGGGCACAGCGTAACCATGACGCACAGGTAAGACGGGTCAGCATGATGATGGCTCCTAAAATACCGGAGAGTTTTGCTTATTAATGAAAATGGCAACTGTGACAGAACACACCGACATTTTTGCTTTTCCCCACACCTCAAAAGTATCAAATCTCAGGCCTGCAAGAGGCTGCAAGGCAGGGTATTTAAAACAACCAGCCCTCCTGGGTGGTGTTATAGAGATGGAGAAGCAGCAAAGACAATTCTGGATTCAATAAAATGGAGAGGCTTTGCTCACCAGGCACCCTGCTCAATTGCTGTTTTGAAAGCAATTTGAAAGTACTTACAGTAAAAAACACTTTTCCCCAGCAGTAACCATGTATATATTATCTCAATATGCCTCCTTACATATACATATTTATATGTATGTGTGCACATGTTGTATATATGCATGCATACATATATATTCTCTCTCTGTTTAGCTTCTTAGCTTTGCCAGCAAAACCAGTGTTTGCACACATGCCAGTTTCATGATCAGCCCTGGAAGAATGCAAACACAGGCCTCTGCCACTTGAAATAAAAGAGGATTTCCACTAGCTGAAGTGGGGCTTGTTCCATGTAGCTTCTTACATATTCTCTAACTGCTGATAACGTAGCCACAGATGCCTGGGGAAATATCTCATTCCACCTCAACCACCTGTCCCCTCTTCAAATGCCTCTGTGGTTTGGCAAGGAGCAACTGATGGCAGCAGGCTGGTGCTCAGGCTGCAGCTCGCTTTTGCTTCCTATCATGGAAGCTACCAAAGTACCCCCAGGTCACAGACTCCCCAGCACTGTATTTACTTAGACCCATGATTATTTTTCACAATTTCCTTACTTTTCCCCTCTGAAAAGGACATACCCAATCAGGGCACAGGAGGCTTAACAAGCGAATAGGAGCCATCTAACCCAATCAAGGTGGAAGCTACTGGAAAACCTTCACTGGCAGGAGAGGAGCAGAATACGGATATCCCCCGAGGTCCAGACTCATCCCGGAGCTGAGTGGCTGCTCGCTGCCTCTCTGCTTTAGACCATCATCTTTTGGGACAGGCTTGCAATTGCTTTGGAGTTCAAAACTGATGAGTTCAAGGCTGACGTTCCTTAGTGATCCTCGGGGACTAAGATGCCTGATATGTGCTATCCTGGAGCCAATAGCCACCACCACTCCTGGTCCCTCTGCTCCTTCATCCTGCTCCCAAATGTCTTTTTCTTCTCCCCTGCATTGGTCTTAGATGAAGTTCATCAGTTACATACGTACATGTATGGTGGCTTTTTGGTAGCTTCTTTTGAAATATTTTGGGTTTTCACATTTCAGTAAATGATGTTTTAAGAGTAGGAAGAAGTATGTTTTCTCCATATATGCTGTATGGCAGACAATGTGAACCTTGAACACGGGGAAAATTCTTAGGACATTGTTCATAATTGTAAAATCTCTTTGAAGTGGGGGTCAAGCTGGCTGATCTGTGAAAACAGCCAGCCGTGGTAGGTAGTTTTTTCTGTGTGCTTCAACTCTGGGGTGTTTTCAGTGCTCGTGGAAAGTAACAACCAACAGATTTGATGCACAGAAAAGATGTGCTGTGTTGGTCAACCGGGCAAGTTTTCTTATCTGGAGCTGGGATCCAGTCCAGGTTTAGAAGGGCTGCTTGTCTGTCAGTCTTTCTTACTTTCAGACCCTAGCCAATATTTTGATTCTCTTTTGAACCTTTCATGTGTGGCTACCACGTGCCACTCATGATAGAAAGCATCCTGTCTTACTGGAAGCAGCTTATTAATTTTATGTAGGTCAAAGAAGAGGTCTTAGATGGCTGAGTCTCCAGTCGTGTGGCCTGACTGAATATGAATTGGTGAAGGTCAGCTGGCCAGTGCCTCCTAAGTACTTGCACATTGTACTAGATCCGCATTTGCTCTTGGGGTACTAGTTAAGTCATGGGTCTAGAATTTGCTAAGCCAAAAAACCTTCTACACCTGGAGAGTATTTGTTGCCCATAAGAAATAATGTATTTGGGGAAAGATAGATAACAGACCCTCACCTGACCAGTTTCCTGACAGCAGTGCTTGAAGCTGTATCTGCAATACTGAATAAAAAGCTGCTCTGGGTGAAGGCCATGGGGCTCATATCCACAGTGTGACATGGAGCTGTGGACAGGTCTGGGCTCACTGGAGACAGCGAGCCAGACTTGTCAAAAGCTGAAACAAGGAGTCAGCTGGCTGTTAAGTAGTGTGAACAGTCAGGGGACAGTGCCTGAACCTACCGCCAGCCACCTAGTACCCAGCAACACAGACACAGCTACAGAGACCAAGGACAGAACCAGCCAGCTCCTCTTCATCACAAAGCCCCTCCTAGCAACTGTTACGCTGAGCGGAGTCAGAGGCTTGTGTTGTCCCTGTCTCTCTGGATGGGCACAAGCATTTTACACAACACAGCCCACATCCGTCCTTGAGTGGGCTCTGGAACACAGCAGTGTTACAAACCCGACGGCTTTGAGGGGTGTCCCCTTTCTGTTCACCAGCTCTAAAATCACAAGGGAAGAAGTGGCTCTGTACCCTGCTTGTCTTTTTCCCAGGTGAGAGCACTCAGGTGTCGCTTGCCAAGAGCCAGCAGCGCTGACCCTCCTGTGTAGCACAGGCTTGTTGGCAAACATGACCCCCACATCATTTTGAGCCATGCTGTGGAGCATTGTTGCCTTTGAATCCATTTTAATCTGTTTGTTAGAGCTTGTATTCCAGGGCAGGCTGCAATCATTCGCTGTACCCTGTTTCTTCTCTCAGCAGAGTCCCATCTGGATGTGAGTGATTGTGCCGTACTGTATATATAGATAGATGTGTGCCTGTTTAGAGAATGAGTATGTGTGTCCCAAGCAAGGGAATGGAAATCTGAGGGAGAAACAGAAAAAATAAAAGGTGGAATAAAATGAAACCAGAAACAAAATCTGTGTGTTTCCTTCTGGGGAGATGAAGGAGCCTGAGGGAGGATGGGGAGAGCTGGCAGCAGCAGGCAAAATAGGGGTGGGATTTCCACTGCCATTGGAACAGTTTAGCATTCAATTTTAATTTAACTTGTGGTATTTTTTTACTTTTGGGAAAGAGCAATAACCAATGTGCTTAATCCACAAAGGAAGGTGTTCTCTAGGGCAAGCAGTGGCACTGGAGATTGCTACACCCGCCCTGCAGGTATTAGGTGTCTAGGAACAGAAGAAAGCAAAGCCATCTAGCCTAGTGCTGTTCCTCCAACAGCATCCTTGTTCAGGGGAATCATAAAACCCCAAGGTGACAGACAGTGTTCCTTCCTGTGAGATTTCCCAGTTCCTGGCAATCAACAGTTTAGAGACTCTCTGTGCCAGAAGTTGCATCACCATATTTGTCCTTGATGGCTTTACAAATTGCAGATAAAAAGCCGCCTGTTTCTCAGCTGAAGGCATCCACACATCCCTCTCGGGGTGTTGCTCAGGCGGCGCACAAACCTTGTCCCATCTGCAGGCCAGGTGAGAGCGATTTTAGAAAAGACTCTTTGGCCAGTATTAGCATTGTGACACCGCAAAAGCAGAGGGCATGTATCCCTGCCCCGCCCCTGCTATCAGGAAATGTTGGCTTGAGCAGCGTGGTCTTGTATCCCCAAGGTGTGCAGAGTCAAAAAGTGTTGAGCGAAACGTAGACCACAGCTTGGCTTGGTAGGGGGGGCTATTCAGACCCATGTGTACTTGTCAAATTGCTGGGGCTGGCCTGTATGACGTCAGGTATAAGGGCACTGATGGTCGAACAGGAAAATGCCCTTGGCAAGAAAAATTTGATATAATTTATGCAGTTTCTCTGATGTGGACGGTGCCTGAAAGAGTTAAAAAACTAAAAGCACAAACTTTGCAGGCCAGAAGACCTCTAAATTGGGGGTAGGGGAGAAGGATGGAAACCAGAGCAAGAGTAAAGATAAAGTGGAAAAGTAATGCAGCACAAGAGCAAGGAGACTATGGCAGTTGTGTTTGGCTGGGATCATGTTTTTATGGTTATTTTTTGATTGGACTGTGTTTAAACTGTAGCGTGAGCCACAAGAACGTGTCAGATGGGTAAGGACTGGGAGCAATTACTGGTGGAATAGGGTTTTTTAAAGATCTGAGACACAAGGGAGGCTAGTACAGAGGTCTGGAAACCTGAGGGGGAAACTTGAGGGTGGCAGGAGGCATTAGCAGGATATAGCACATCAGAAACGAAGTGGGGGGAACCAAAGAAGCAGCATGGAGTGGGCTCAGAACACAAAGGGAAGGTTGCTGGCTTCCCTGTGCTCCAACACGTGAGAAACACACTCCCAACGCTGAGGCACTTTTCCCAAAAGCCCAAGGCAGGCCCTTTGTTAAGCCACTTCCCTCGCAGCCTCCGGTGGGCCTCAACTGCCACTCCTGGGGACACTCGCTGGAGGGGAACCACCAACTGCCTCCCACAAACCCGGCCACCCCACGGCCCCTCACCCTACCCGCTCGGGGGGCTGCCAGGAGAGGGTTTGTACACTGCTGCATACGTGGTGTGTATCGCCCCCACCGCCCCCAGAACCCCCCCACCGGGCAGCGCGGTGCGGCGCGGGCAGCCCAACCCGCCTGCCTGCGGGAGCCCCCTGCCCCTGAGGGGAGCGGAACCCGCCCCCCCCACCCGCCCTCGCACCTCCAGGCGCGCGCGGCGCCTAACGGCTCAGAAAAGCGCGAGCCGGGCGAAACCAAAGCCGTTGAAGGGAGGGTGGTGTGTGAGGTGTCCCATTTCCAACCCCCCCTTCCCATCCGCTGAGAATCAGCTCGCCCGGCTTCGAGCCCCGCTGGCGCGTAGGGCGAAGCGGGGGGGTGGGGGGCCGTTCTTCCGCCTTGGGAGGGGCGCAGGAGCGGTGTCTGCGCAGGGGGGCGCCGCTGCTCCACACACACACACACACACGGGAACTCGGAATCATCTCTACTAAGCGGAGCCGTAGCGCCGAGGGGAAGGGGCGATGCCACGGGTTACCCTGGCGGGGGGGCAGAGGGGGGGAAACGCAGCAGCCTCCGGGAGTTAAGGGGAGGAGTGGTATCTTCCGGAGCGGCGGGCGGAACCATTGGAAATGCTGGGGAGGGGAGAAGGGCAGACCCACGAAGGAGGCGCTGGCAGGGGGTGCCTGGCGCTGGGCGGGAGGAGGAGGCGGGAAGCGAGTGAAGCGCTGAGCTGGGGAGGAGGCAACAGAGAGCGGCTCGTTGGTCTAGGGGTATGATTCTCGCTTCGGGTGCGAGAGGTCCCGGGTTCAAATCCCGGACGAGCCCGCTGGCGAAGGGGGCGGCGACAGCGTCTCCTGTTTTGCCACCGCCGTGCACCCCCCGCCAACCTCTCCCTGCGTTTTTGTGCCCCGGGACCCGCCCGCGGCGGGAGGGTGGGCGCGGGGGAAGGAGCCGGAGCCGGGGCGACCGTGGCAGGCAAGGGTGGGCCCTCGGGGAGGGGCGGGAGCCGCCCCGTCCCGCCGGGGCTGCGCCGGGGGCGGGTTGGGGGAGGCGGGGGGGAGTGCGGGGTGGCGGCGCCCTGGGCGCGGTGCGGAGCGGGCGGGTGGCAGCTGCCGCCTTCCGCGTGAGGGTATGAACGCCCGTTCCTTGCGTTAAAAACGAGCGCGTCTCCTCGTGAGCCCTGTCCGCGCCCTTCCGCGCCGTGAGGGGAGCGCCGCGGCCCACACCGAGACGCAGGCGGCGCCGCTGGGCAGCGAGAGGGGCGGGGGTGTTGAAGAGAGGGAAAAAAAAAAGAAAAAAAAGTGGGCTCGTCCGGGATTTGAACCCGGGACCTCTCGCACCCTAAGCGAGAATCATACCCCTAGACCAACGAGCCGCCATGACCAGTGTTTTCTCTCCCTTCCAGAGGAAGGCTCGGCTGCGGCCGTTGGAACCGTTGGCTGCGCGCGGCGATGCAAGCCACGGGCCGCGCCGTCGACCGGAGCAGAAACCGGCTGCAGGTACTCAGGGCGGGGATGGTTGGCCAGGCTTCGGACGCTCTCTCCCGCGACGGCCGTGCCTTCCGAGCTACGTGCTACGAGACGGAGTAGAAGCCCCCAGGGAAAACGGCCTTACATAAGAAACGGGAGGTGGCGAACAGGTGTCGGGGACAGCCAAGCGTTCGCGGCCTGGTGCCGGCCTGGAAGGCGGCTCGCCGCTGCGGCCCGGAGGCAGCGGAGGCCCAAGTTTCCCCCCTTGCCTCAGCCCGGGAGGCCGCGACCCCCGCGGTTTACCTCAGCCGGTGGGTGCCCGGGCGGGGGTGCCGGCGGGGGCGGTGTGTGTGTCCGTGTGCCGGCTGGCAGCCCCCGCCCCACCGCCTGCCCCGCCAGGGCGGCCGGCAGCCCGCCAAGGGTGAGGGGTCCTTGCCCTTGGTCAGGGCTTACGGAGACTCTTCTTCCCGGTGGCCTTGTTGGGACAGCTCGAACAAATCTCGGGTGCGCAGCCTGTTCTGCTTTTTTTTTTTTTTTTGGAGCGCTCTGTGTTACCACGGAGGCAGACGCGCTGTTGCTGTGCGTGGTGTTGCTCTACAGGTTTCTTCCAATCGCTGCGGCAAACCTATCTACCCTTGAGTGCAAAATCTGCTTAATATATGTCTAGCCATTAACCACAGCGGTCAAACCGCAAAGCCTAAGCAAAAGAAGGGAACTTCGTCATTCGTTTCCATCATTTGAAACATCATTTAAAATTACAGCCAAGCGGTGGTGACTTTACTTTCATACTTTACAAGTGATAATTGTATGCGGACCCTATTAAATCTCCGAGTCTTCTTACATCAAACACTGATGCTGGTCAGGCTAGAGGTCAGTGCTACCTTGGCTCTTGTCTCCATACAGTAACAGTCGTTAAACTGATGTTGCCAAGAAACAGGAGAGAGAGGGGGGGAAGTTGGGAGGAAGAGGCAGGAAAAAGAATTGCTTTCATTTTCTGTGCTTTTTTATATATCAAGGTTATCAAGGATACTTGTGACTTGAATTGTTCCTTAGCATCAGTTCAGCACTGGAATAGCTCATCCTTAGCATCCTTTTCCATTATAAGGTTTTGTCAGAATACTTATCCTGGCATAATGGGTGATCCAAGACATTCTTATTAATCAAATTATGGAAAAATTATTATTAAACTCTTCACGTACCATATGCAATTACTGTGCTGCTGCCAGCTCTGAGTTTTGAAAGAATCATTGCATTTCTATTTAACCGGAATAAACATAAATGCAGCACTGTCTGCCACTCACAATTTCTCCCAATTTGCAGAGGAAAAAGTAATGTTGTAAGACACCCAATGCTTTCTTTTGCAAGTAGAGCCTGCTTTTACTTTCTCACTCATGTTCTCCTGCAGTTTCAAAATAAGCATATTGGGTGGGAGGAATTTTTTGCATTTGCAGAGGTACACATTTTTGCAGGAATGCTTATCTCTGCACACTGAGCAGTGTCTACTGTACAATTCCTCTAGGTATGGAGATGCAGGCTAAATAGAAAACAATCAAAACCATAAAAAATGTAAAATCAGTCTGAATATATTTGCTTCTCCTTCTAGAAGATGTTACCCTTATTTTGTTTGACATCATAATCCTGCTTGCTCTCTCTGACAAGCTACTAGAGAGCTCTCCAAAATAGTAGGATAAAAAAAGGTCTGAATTTCTAACATAAACAGCAACCATGAAAAAAATTATTGAACTTCCTCCCCAGTGACACTTTTTCAGATCTTCCTTTTGTGATAAGCAGAAACAGAAGACACAAAAGCATTTTTCCTTCTCTCGTGGAACTGAATGCTGATTTTACTTCCTGTGAGAAAGCTCAGAAAACAGTCAGAAAACTTGACAGCAGCTTGCCGGGAGGCTGCTGCGGCCCCTCTCACCCCACTGTTGGAACAGTCCTGCTCTGTCACTGCTGCTTGTCTGACCTTATGGGGAATGTGTTCAGCGTGATGAGAAATAACACCTCTCCATACTCATATGGAAAAAATGAACTTGCTGCTAGCTAAGTGAGCTGCATCACTAAGAAATCTGATAAATACCAGTATTATCACTAGGCAAAGAGTAAAGTTGCATAGCTAGAGGGAAAAAGGGTGGCAGCAGCTATACCTTTATTTGGGTTAGCTTCTCAGGGAGTTGTGTGCTGAGTTAAGGAATTGTGTAGTACAGCTTGTAGGCTCTGCATTTAACAGCTTACTCTGAGAAGTGTTCCCAGTTCTTTTTTTCATAATCTTAAATAATAATAACTAATAGTAACATGTCATAGCATACAAATGCCATGTATGTTCCTTGGGACAAATCAAGTTGTTCCAGCACCCCATTTCCTCTCTGGAAATAGCAGGAGACAATAATTTGATTGTTACTATCTGGATAAAAAATGGCCTACAGCAAGTAGACCAGATATCCTCCTAGATGTCCCCTGTACTGAACAGCAAATGGGGCAGTCGTGGGGCTGTACCTGCGACAACGTTATCTGGGCTCTGTCAGGGAAGGGAGCGATTATAGGAGTCCTCTGGCAAGGGGCACGTGGGGCTGAGTCAGGCTTATTAGTACCTAAAAAGAGAACACGTGAGCCCTGTGAAGGACAATAAATTTGAGAATCAGAAAAAGGATATATTTTTAAAAAAAACTTTAGGTTGGTTATCTTGAAAAAATGTCTAGAAAGATGATGCTTGTCCTGTTCAGGGGATTGAACATTTTTAAACTGTGCAGTACCGAAGGACCTGAAGGCAAATAGTGGTGCTTCCGTGGTGGTAGAGCACTTCCAGTCACTGAGGAAAGCTGTAAGGGCGAGCAGAGTTTCCATGGATAGGAAGAGCTCTGAGGGAGTATTAAGGCAAAAGTGGGGGTATTGATCAGTTGGCTAAAGATTGACCTGCAAGGGAAGTCAGAGGGACTAAATGAGGTGGCAACCAAACAAGGGGATACTTCCCTGTGATACAAAGAGTTACCTGTGTTGATCTTTACTCCCAGTTGCTGCTCTGGATTTCTGGTAGCCTGGCTTTCTAGAAAACACATACAGTGGTTAGCTGAGGATCATGCTCCAGAGCTGCTCCCAAGGGCATAAGTAACGAATGCATATACCACTGCACTTTAAACACCATGAGAACTGTAACCTGGTCTCTTGCAGCGCAGCTAGAAAAAAACACCTGCCTGTGTTTTTACAGGGGCTTGCTTTGTCATGGCCTTCCTCGACATGGCGCACAGTAGCGGGGCTTTGCTGTGACCTCTCTCACCTGCAGGTGTGATTAGGTAGCCAGAGGGGCACAGAAACAGGTGGCACATGCATCTGGGAGAGGACCAGCACCCACGGGGCACCAGGCAGGAGCCAACTGAGCACGCTGAGGGCCCCTGAAGCACAGCGTACAGAGAGCAACAGCCTTGTGACATGACTGAGCTTGCACAACTTATTTAAAATACATAGCTTTGCAAAAGAAGAAACACATGCAAAGGGGTTCCCAAAAGAGAGGAAGTGAAGCAAGGAGGCAAAGAAGGAAGGGTGAAAGCGTGGTCTTGGGGCGGTCTGTAACAGCAGGGAGCCCTGTCACTAAGCCAGGGGAAATTCTAAGCAGGGATTTTGAGGCGGAAGGCAAAGGCAGTTAGGCAGTAGGCGTAGGAGAGCTCCCGAAGGAGCCTGTTCTTAGAGGCAACGCGCGCCAGGACAGGCTCTCGGGCTCAACGGGGACAAACAAGAAGGATCTCGGTGGCGGGAGGGGAACCCACCGGGGAACCCACCCTCACCCCCTCAGAACGCACACTTGCCAGCTGGCCCCGCGGCCTGCGTGGGGGGAGCTCGCCTGCCAAGGCCTGTGCCGTGCTGGGGAGCTGAGGGAGCACGGGGGGGGGCTGCTCCTGCTGCCGTCACTCGCTGCACGGCCGGAGGCTCGCCACGCTCTGCTGCGACCGAGCCGAACGCTGTGCCGTCCTCGCAGGCCGCGGCAGCGACAGACCCACAGCTCGCGTGCGGATCTTCGCTAACAAAGGCACGGCTCCCTTCGCGCGACTGCCGGTTGTTTTCGGTATTTTTTAATGTGCAAGAGGCAGACCGCCAGCGTGCCTCCGAACGGACGCAGATCCGCTTTCCACGCAGGGGGTTAGCACCGCGGCAGCACCAGAGCCTGAGGCGAGGCCGTTTGGCGTTGGGCTGCCCCAGGCACCTCGCAGGCAGGGCAGCGGGGGCGGGCTGCGGCCCCACGCACCGCGGCGGGGGCACCTCCCGCGCCCGCAGCGCCACTCCCCCGACACCGCCCGCGGGGTGGGAGCTAGTTACGTGCCCTGCTCGGGGGGGGGGGGGCGGGACAGCACGTTCCCTGTTTTGATAGGGCACCTGGACTTGACGGATCGCTTCTGTGTCCAATCCTCGGGGAGGAGCGGCGCGTCGTCGGGACGGGGGTGAGGGGTACGCGGGAGGTGTGTGCGAGTGACAGCGGCGAGGCCCTATACCGGCGAGGGGAGGGGGCTGCGGGGCGCGGGCCCGCGGCCGGGGGCGGACAATGGGGGCGCTGGGAGGTGGCGGCAGGAAGATGGCAGCGGCCGGAGGTGCTGTGCGGCTCCCCTGCTCGGCGTGGCTGCTGGCCGCCGCCGCTGCGCTCACCGCCGGTGAGTGAGTGGGTACGGGCTGCCCGCCGCCGCTTACCCTCGCGGGGCTGCGCTCGTAGCCTGGGCGGGTCTTGGTACGGCGGGGGGAGCTGCCCTGCCCTGCCCTGCCCTGCCCGACCCGAGGCGCGGGAGGGGGCGGCGGGTTGGGGTGGGCTCGCCGGCCTGGGTCGGGCCCGGTGGGGCCGCCGGCGCCGATCCGCGCTCGGGAGAGAGGGGCCGGCCCGGCCCGTGGAGCCGCCGCCGGGCCCTCGGGGACGAGGCAGCGGGGAGCCGCCCGACCCGCGCCCCGAGTCCCGCCGGTTCGTCCCTTTAAATAACGCCACCGGCACGGAGGGCGATTTCGCGGGCAGGGCACGGCACGGCACGGCTCAAAACCGGCCCCCTCCGCTT